AACTCAACAGACGCTATAATTATTTTTTTTAACTAGTAAAATATATTCATTGAATAATTATCTTACTTGAATAATATTGTAAAATTAATATTAATTTTCATTCGATTTCTCTTATATTCCATTCCAATTAAATACTAATTATATATGTTAATATTTTGTTCTTTATAACAATATTGTCATCAAACACATACTCATTTTTATTAATATTAAAATGTTTCCGAATTTGGTATAGTACCAATCATATGTTGATGGTGAAAATAATAATAATGACGAAATTTGACGATGTTGTTGTTTAATTATTAGTTAAATTAATTGTACACATGGATTTATCAACATTATTCATTAAACATAAAATTCTCCAAATCACTAAAAACATTATTATATATACATTTTTTAATCTTTTTTCTTTATTGATTAATACATACTTGTACATGAATAACAAATTGTTGATCTTGATGTCGATATAAATAAATTTTTATTCAAAAGAAGAATATATCTTGTTTCATTCTTTTCTGTTGTAATAAATCCACCTAACAAAGAAAGACTTTTTCAAACTTTTGTAATGGATTATTTTGATCTAAAATTTTGTTGATATTTAGATATGTTCATCCAAAAAGAATATTATTGTAAAAATTTAAGTGTTTAAAAACTTCCATTTGTTTTTTTTTCGACAGTCTATGAAATTGAATCAACAATTTTTAACATTAAGCATGTTTACTTAAGTAATAGTTCGTCTAATGTAATATATTTTGTATTTTATCATAACAAATAAAATAATTATACATAAATGTTGTTATTGATTATCATTAATAAAAATAAATAAAACAATTCCATTTTCATTTCAAATGAGACACAATCTAAAAGAATTCATAAATAAATCATTATATATGTTAATGTTCACAAGAGAGAAAGGAAAGAAAAAAGAAATATATGTGAAGAGAGGAATTTTCTTTTTTTTTGTCTTTCTCTCGTCCATAAATCATTGTTCATGTTGTTATCATTGACGATCAATGGTCAACATGTACAAATAAATATATATATCATTTTCGACGAGAGAAAAAAATGATTTTTCAAGGTATATATACGAATGATTTTCTATGTAAAATCATTCAAATTTTTGAATCAAATAATAATAATTTTTCTTTTCTGTTTTAGATTGGCCTCAATGATACAAAATTAATCAAATCAAAATCAAGCTATGCAATAAAAAAAAATGTAGGTATCAGTTTTACTTTTTTCTTCTTTTTTTTTCTTTTACGATTATAAGGATGGTGGGGTAAGGCCTCCTTTGATCTTTTTATTATTACTTTTTTTTATTTTAGGGAATAAACAATGAAGAAAAAGATAACATTAGGGTAAGTCATCTCTTTCTATTTCATTAAATAACATTGATTGATTTTTTTTTCTGTTCCTTTCAGCTATCAATATCATCGCGTCATCAACATCAGACACGGTAAGTCATTGTTTTTTTTTAGATGAGAATAAGTAGTGAGATTGAGGGGTTAGGATGAGACTAAGAAAAGTGAGTGTTAGTGGGGGAGGGGTGAGTTATGTTCGTTGAGGTTAGGTTCTTCTTATTTACAGGACTTCCGGGCAGTCCCTAAAAGCCCGACCAGGAATCGTCTTGGTGTCCGTGGCACACGACCAGGCTTATTCAGACTCATTGACATATCTCTCGCGGGGAGGGTATGAATGATATGAGTCTGTCCTGTGCGTGCATGAGTGTTACGCTCGCCACGGCTCCAGCAGGATGGTTCCTGGTCGCGCGCGCGAATAGAATAAGCCACTCATTTCATCAATTCAATGCGGTTTATTTGATACGAAAGGAACGCAAAAAAAATCTATCACGACGAGTCTATTCGATTAAAAAACGTTGAACGCGAGAATTCCTGAAATCGACGACATAGAGATTGCCATGTCGATCGAATGACAAACCGACTGGATCGTTGAACTGATTTGCTTCTTCTCCTTTACCATTTCCACCCACAATGACAGTGCCCTGTTTCGCTCCTTTAGGCCAACGCATCACTCGATGATTTCTCGAGTCTGCCACATAGATAGTACCCAATGTATCGACGAACAGTCCACCAGGACACGACAATTGTGTCAGTGCATTCCCTTCGCTTTGACCTCCAGCGACGACAATTCCTTCTTTTGCATCTTTATTCCATTTCATTACACAATGATTGTAGCAGTCTGACATGTAGACAGTCTGTTGTTGATCGACAAAGATGTAGGTCGGAAGGTTGAGTTGATTGAGACCAGCACCTTTGCCATTGCCACCAGCCACAATAGTTCCATTCTTGTCTCCTATTTGATATTGTCTTACTTCATCTTTGTCGGTGTCAGAGATGTAGAGATATCTCTGATCATCCATGGCCAATCCATAAGGATCGATGTTGTTGATGAGGATTTCTCCTTGAGTTGTACCACTGCGACGAGACCATCGTATGACTCGTCCAATGTCGCAAATAATGAGACTATCCGTCTCTTTGTCAATCGACACATCGGTTGGTTCATTCAATTGATCCAATCGATTTCCTTTGCCATTGCCACCAGCTACTACTTGTCCATTCGTATCACCCATCTTCCATTGGATGATATGATTATTGTTGGGGTCAGCGATGACTATCGTTTGATCATCATCAACGAAGAGACCCCAAGGGCGGTCGAGTTGATTGGTGCCACTGCCGCGTCCATGACCTCCAGCAACAGTCACTCCCTTCTGTGCCCATCGGACATCGGCTGGAATATTTGGGATTACTACAATGAACAAAAAAGAAAAGAAGTCGTCGTTATCGAAGGGATTCCGTCTCTCGTGGAAGTAAGCGCTATAAATATGACATTCATCTTTGAGAATGCTCATTCCACAGATAAAAATTCAGAAGTCTTTTCCTAGTTTCTTATGAGAAAAAACGGATTTGGTAACGATTCTTACATCTATGTTACTTCTAGCTCTTGCCAAGATCTTTTTGACCCTAAAGACAATACCTGGAGATTGTTGTAAGGAGGTTCTCCAAGAAAGAGTAATACTAATTCTATGTAAGTTTTTGATAGAAAAACATAGAGATCTGAGGATTTTATCCAGAATTGCAAGAATTCAGAATCTTTTTGGCAGAATGATCATTTATATGAACATCAGAGAAGATTCTATCTGTATCTTGTGAGAAGAATATCGAATCGTTGAACAACAAAATATCAAACCTAATCCCCATTGTTTTTTAGGAAACCTTAAGGATACATGATTTTCTGTATGATGAATGTAGATTTGCCGAAGAATCTCCTAAGTATTTGCATAGGCTTTTGGTAAGTTATGTGAAGCTGTTCGAAGAACAACCATGATGTACTGTGAGTAAGATCATGAGAAGGTTTGGATACAGGCGAAATGGAACAAAGTTGAGAGAATTCCACGCGAATCTATGTAATCTGAGAGGGCTTCTACTTTTGCAAATGTTGAAAAGATGTATGTCAATCCTAACGGAGTTCTCCAGTGGCAAACATTGGGATCTATGGATTTTATGGGCTTTGGAAATCTAAAAGTAATGAGTATCTTGTATTAGGATCATGCTATAATCCTTATATAGTACTTGTTCTGACAAGTTTTCTGTAAGCTCGCATGTTATGGATATGTTCAGGAGGATCTGAAGAGTAAGTATTTTGAAATGGTTGATATCAGAGATGGGCAATTCCAACTCTAAAGTTGATGCTTTTTCTCATCAGAGTGAAAATGGAGTAGGAAAAGGACAGAATAGAGGTGCCTATCTTTGAATTTTATGAGAAAGTTTATAAAGCAATAAATTAATATGCTTCTAATTTATATCAATCGTAGATTTAATTGTGTTGAAAAACTTATGTGTATTTAA